ATGAATTTTCCATCTTTTTTCCCCAACGTACAGTATAGTGCCTCTTTTCATGCCCAGAGTCCGAACAATGACACTCTTGTGCCTAAGCTTTGGACTGGGGGCGCCACTGTTGATGCGGAAAAAAAGAAGAAAACTTGCGAGTCGTCACAGAGTGCAAGTGTCCACATTTCACACACTGCTGATGTTTAAACTGCAGTGTGACCTGCCAGGTTTATCCCATTTGGAAACAGGGGCCATTCCAGTAGCGGCACGTAGATTCCATGGAAATGTTAAAACAGTTAAGGTGTGGTACCAGGCTATGTAGTTCATCACCTGTGGGTCAAACATCTATGTTCAAATTCCTTAGCATGTTATCCTTGCACAACAGAAAAAAGTTACTCATGAGTGTGACTCTGAGTCCTTCTGCACCGTGGCTCCTGATTGGCTCGTGCTTCCTGGGCGGCGTGAGTCATGCCCAGATTTGCCTGTTAGGTCCAGAGGAGCAGAAGATGAGCAAAGTCAAGCAAAGACCACAAGGGAATCTGCACAGTTTTGCCATATACACTATATTGTCAAAAGTATTATATCACCAAAAAAAGCCTTATATCACCAAGTGCAACATAAAGGGCACTTGGTGATATTGAGTCCACTACCACTGGACTCAAGAGCAGTGGAAATCACGAACCATGCTACTCTGTCCGGCAATCCGATGGATGAGTCTGGGTTTGGCAGTTGCCAGGAGAACGGTACTTGCCTGATTGCATTGTGCCAAGTGTAAAATTTGGTGGAGGGGGGATTATGGTGTGGGGTTGTTTTTCAGGGGTTGGGCTTGGCCCCTTAGTTCCAGTAAAAGGAATTCTTAATGCTGCAGCATTTGGAGCTATTTTGGACAATTTCATGCTCCCAACTTTGTGGGAATAGTTTGGGGATGGACCCTTCCTGTTCCAACATGACTGAACAACAGTGAACTAAGCAAGGTCCATAAGGACATGGATGAGCGAGTCTGGTGTGGAGGAACACAGAGCCCTGACCTCAACACGATAGAACAGCTTTGGGATGAATTAGAATGGAGACTGTGAGCCAGGCCTTCTCATCCAACATCAGTGCCTGACCTCAGAAATGCTCTCCTGGAAGAATGGTCAAAAATTCCCATAAACACACTCCTAAACCATAGGAGTTTAAGCTGTTATGGCTGCAAAGGGTGGGCCAACTCCATATTAAAGCCTATGTATTAAGAATGGGATGTCATTAAAGTACATGTGTGTGTAAAGGCAGGTGTCCCAATACCTTTGGCAATATAGTGTACATGATACAAAACACTGTGGTGGACAGCCGACCTGCCCAGGGTGTACCCCGCCTCTCGCCCGATGATGCTGGGATTGGCTCCAGCTTCCCCACAACCCTGATGGATAAAGCGGTATAGATAATGGATGGATGATACAAAACAAATGAAAAATGTTACAGTTATACTGGTTCTAATTTCATTTTATACTATGTCAGCATGAGAGCAGAACTAGATGATTTTAAAGGGACAGTTGTTGTGGACACATCTGTGCTTGGCATTGAATCAGTTATGTTTTAGGAATGAATGGTTTTTGACAAAATCAAAAGGAGACTCACTGACCCCCCCAGAAACCTCTGGCTGCAGGATCAGACTAGAAGCAGTCATAACCTCCACCCTCCGTTTGATGTTGACTCACTGTGTGTGTCCACACGGAGAGAATAGAGATCTGAGTGGACTTCCGTCGAAAACGGCATTTCTGAAACTCCACATTCCAGTGAGAGAGAGCCTTCCTCAATGGTGGGAAGCTGTACTAATGTGCTAAGGTCAGAGTTCACATGGACTGCCCAAGTGGAGGGGCGGGGTGTGGCAGGAAGGGCATGGGATGTTTTTGCAATGAGGAGAAAAATACAGACGATTCTAATCGTGTTACACTCTTGTCTGAGTATAGCATAAGTATCTCTTGAGTAAGTCTCAGGAAAACCAAGTCATAACTTGTCTCTGTCGGCCTTATCGTAGCTGATTACGTCACACGTGTAAATATGTCTTGTGGGGTAAACAGACCATCCCAAACCAACATGTGAATATCTACACTTATCTGACACAAGCGCACCCCGGCAACCATCTAACAGAGTCAACAGGTAGCATTTCATTCTGTCTGGCTCTCATCTGGGTCATGAGTTTTACATTACATACTATATATACATTTATTTAGGAGGTGCTTTTGTCTGAAACAACACACAAGGGAGGATCAGAGAGCAGAATGAGACTGTGTCCCTGGAGCAGTTGTGGTTAAGGGATTCGTTCAAGGCAGGCGGGCAGTTAGGTCGATTCCAGAGGCCCTAAAAAATCTGGAATGTAATCGGATTGGTCTTAGTTGGGGGCCCAATATGATATGCTTTTGGGGGCCCCTGGTTCAAGGATCCAACAGTGAAATCACTCAAACACACCCTAGGACCTGAACAGATGACCTTCCATCTCCGAGTCCTAACCTGCAGAGGAACACTTGATCCTGTGTAAAAATTTGCTAGCTACTGTCATCATCGTCTACGTGAAAAATCACTGTGAGCAGCATGTTTACATAACCTTTTGTGTCTGTGCGCTACACTGTGGACCTGGGGGGGACATTCCAGCCACTGCACACCTCTGCGGATGGTAGGACAGTGAAACTCTGCTTCACTTAACTCACAGCTTACATTACCTGCTCCCCAAAAATAATTTATCTGTAGTCATGTTAAGATTCAAAAGTATAACATTCATAATCAAACAAATCACTCGTGTTTTGTTGTTTTTGTTTTACTTAGGGTATCAGTAGCGGGATTTTAATAGTTGCAGGCAACCCATGCATGTAGTTATTACCAGAATGGTGAAAACACTGGTTGCATTTCTTGTTAGTGCAGGTACCTCAGCGTGAGATATGGATCTTCTGACACGCAATTCTGAGATAAGGGACCACAGATAAGCAACAACACCACACTTGTCTCTGGAGAATTTACATACCCTATGAAGTCTGGGCAAGAGCCTGTGTGTCGTCAACAACTAACCCTAACCCTAAACCTAACCCTAACCCTCTCCAAAGGCAGAATTACCAATGAAATGTTTTGTCAGTTGTTTGAAAAATTTCAAATTAAGTTTTAGATCGGGAGGCAGAAATAATGGCTTTGAATAACCTTCACATTGCAATAAAACACGTATCAACATCTACCAAAGTAATACTGATGGTACATCAACCTTGAACAGACTTGTTGTCTGAAACTGCCCCAGCTTCCTATCTATGACCTGAGATCCCCAAACCTGGCAGGTAAGTCACACTCAGTGTCTGTTGAGAAAACAAAAGTTAATTGGTTTAGCAAATGTTTCCCACCAACTTGTCTAAATATCTGCTGAATCGTCATGCCTAAAAATATTTTCTATTTTTGATTACCAGAGGATTTAACTAGGCAACAGGAGGTGATAAAAATCAGGGGAAACTGGTTAGGTCATTATCTCTTTACTGCTTTTTGACAGAAATCTTTAACAATTGAGTCCCAATTTTAAAAGCCACCAACGAGCCCCAGGCTCATAATGGGGACCCCACGCCCTGGTTCTTATCATTTACTTTATCTCAGGAATGCAGAAGGTAGTTTCAGGCCATTCTTGAGCAATTAAAATAAAAGCAAAATAGATAAATGCTTGTTGATTTTAAAAGCAATTGTTGCCTTAGTGGGATTTGGGAATGAATTTCTGGTATTTCGGCTAATATCCTCAACAGTCTGTTTATTGATTTATATATGTGTGGTGAATGGAAGTTATGGCTTGTAGCTGGTAAAGTTTTCCTAAGGCCCCCATAAATACTACTAAGTATTTTTATTGAGAAATTATGCAGTTGTTAGTTATGAAGAAATCCTGCTCTGTCCGGACATGAAAAATTGTCATCCGTGGTCTGCACCCAGGAATGCTAAGTTGCTTGAGATGAGAGGAGATTAAGTCATAGACCTTTGATGCAATGGTCCCAATTACCACGTATTTCTGAATAATTTGACGTATTAATACCTTGAGAAGAATAACACTGAAGTGAGCGGTTTTCTGCATGGATGTTTGTTCTTTCGGTGTATAAATGTAGATAATCAGAAATTGTGCAGGAACTGTACAGACACTGCCATATTTATTTTATTGTATATTTATATATAATTATGACTATTATTAACTATTTAATTAACGGTAGTGTTTGATCCCGGATAATGAATAATGAGATCCCGAGATATATATATATATATATATATATATATATATATATATATATATATATATATATATATATATATATATATATATATATGTGTGTGTGTGTGTGTGTGTCCTTATAATTATTGCTTTGTGGAGACCCAATGTTCCCACAATGTGATACANTGTGTGTGTGTGTGTGTCCTTATAATTATTGCTTTGTGGAGACCCAATGTTCCCACAATGTGATACAAACCTGTTACTTTTAATTTTTTCTTTCCCATTTGGATAACCTTCTTTTAATAAAATCTGTGAATGCAATAAAAAAACTAAAATTTCCAAAAGTATGGTTACTTATTAGGGCTGGGTAGGGGTTAAGGTCGTCATTGTTGGGATTAGGGTTATACCAATAGAAATGAAATGAGAGTCCCCACAAAGATACATGTGTATGTGTGTGTGTTTATATTTTTTTCTCATGAATACTCTTGTTTGATTCAAGATGGTTTGGACTCACACTTTATACTCAGATTCTCACATGTCCTTTCTTTCTGTCTACCTCTTTCTTTTTCATTTGTGTACATTTTTTCTGCCCAGTATTAATATTAAAGCAAGGCTTTAGCTCCTTTCACATTTCTCCACTTCCAAAGAGACTTTACTTAGTTAACTTTAATGGGCTCTGCCTGTCTGCCCTGTTAGCACAGACAAGGAAGTTAGACTGGACAAAGTAGTCTGAGCCTGTGTGGGACAGGGAGAGGATTAGCAAATGGGGGCGGGCCCTGTGGGCGGGGCAGTGACTTGGGTATATAAATGAGCCGGCCTGCACACTCACTGCCCTGTGTCTCTCTCAGCTGAAGTTAGCACAGTCTTCTGTTCACCTCCAGAGTTCCTTCTCCTCCGTCTCCAGCAAAATGAGTTTCTCCTCATCCTACAGCGTCCGCTCCTCCAGCCAGGGGCCCTCGGGGTACGTCTCCCAGACCCGCTCGGCTCCCACCATCTACCGAGCTGCCAGCATTTTCGCGGGGGCCGGGGGTAGGGGGGCTCGTGTCTCCTCCGCCCCCATGGGCACCCTTTCTTCCAACATCCAGGTGAGTGCCAGCAGCGATACGGGTGCCATCATGGGCAACGAGAAGATGGCCATGCAGAACCTCAACGATCGGCTGGCCAGTTACCTGGAGATGGTGCGAAACCTGGAGCAAGCTAACAGCCAGCTGGAGATCAAGATCCGGGAGGCCCTGGAGAAGAGCGGCCCGGAAGTCCGCGACTACAGCCGGTACAACGCCATCCTGGATGAGCTGCGCAAGAAGGTGAGCGCCACTATGTAGGAACAGACTGAGACCGCGGTGGGGGCAGATTTTGGCCGGTGGGTTTAAGGGAAATACAAAAAGGCAACTGAGGGGCGAGAGAGTGGGACTCGGTAACTGTGGACTGGGATGGTGTGAGAGATCAGGCAGTCTGACAGTAGCTGCCATTGTTAACAGAAAGTAACTAATAAGGGGAAGGTTGCAGATGGATAATATCCAAGGCCGCCGCAGAAAGAGGAAGCGATAAGGGCAGCGGGAGCTGATTGGATCCCTTTGGTGTCCTTGGATACAAGCAAAGTTCTGCACTATCAGTCATGAAAAGAAATGTTGGCTTACCGTCTGCCTGATTGATTATATTTACATGCTAAACAGTGCTGGACAGCTTACATTTTCTACCTATATAATGAAGTGATAGAGTACAGTTAAAAATGACAGGAAAAAAGAAAAATAGTGAATGTTTAAATTTTAAAAAACAGACCTGTCTGGGTACATATTAGATAATTGTTGCTCTATGCACAGCATATTTATTTATTATTGTCTTGTATGTCTAATTCGTCATGTTCTGTGTAAAGGCATTTTTAACACCCCGGAGAAATGCTACTTTGTTTCACTGTATGCCTGCAAATTTTGAATTGACACTTAAGTTGACTAATGGCTACTGACACTGTGGTTATCATAACAAGGTATTTTTATAGTATTAGATGTAACTGAACTGGCCTAAATTTATCACTAATAATTTCGAGTCACAGCTGTACAGTATCCATACCTTCCCACTATTTGTTTGGCATTAATTTTACCTTTGGGTGGAGCATGTCTCATTCGTGTATAATACATCAAGGCGAACAGAAGGCCGTGACACTTACTATTCACTGTGTTTTGTTAATATGAAATTAGCTTCTTTAAAGAAACGCTCAAATCAAAAGAAAGATTTGGATGAGGAAGCCTTTCATTTCCTGGTAAACTGCCTTGGATTCTGACTGTTTTGCAAGATATCAAGAAATTAAAATTTCAAGTGTTATTTAAAGTTTTTTTTTTTTTTTTTTTTAATGTAAATGCTAAAATTCAGAATAGAAATATATGATAGCAGTTTGTATACAAACACACATACACACAGCCACACATACATACATACTACATACATACACACACACACACACACACACACACACACACATATACATATATATATTGACACACAGAACATTCCCAGGCATTTCCTGTCCACGTCTCCTTTTCCACCACAGAAGCCCTAATCTGAAACACATATGGTGTGATTGGTAGTTGGCCCTGGAGGTCAAACGTGGTCCGGTCACGTCGCAGCTGGAGCAGACGAGCTGCACAAAAGTCCCGCAGCCACTTCACCTCCCATGTTTATTCCCCTTTGTTTTAAACCAGGATGTTAACAGCTACATGTGGCCCCAAAGAAAACAAGCTCTCTCACGCGCTCAGAAACAGGAAACCCCCCCCCCATCCCCCATCCCCCACCCCCGCTCATTTTCAGTTACTCCATGGACACGTCAGCCCGTTTTTCTTGCTGACTTCTCTTTGTTAATAATTTTCCCTCAGGATTTTGTGACGTGACTCTGTACCCTTATCTCTTACATTGAGCACAGCTTTTAACTCTGCTTTGCTGTGCCTCCCTGTTTGCAGTATGTCTCGATCTTTCCATGGAAATTATCTCATTTATTGACAGTTACAACATAAGCATTAGCCCACAATAGAGTAGGGTAACTACAATGTAATCACTCCCTGAATGTGTGCTTAATGGCAAATAAACACAGAACCTGCTCTCTTTCTCTTGGACACACAGGTGTTCGATGCGACGGTGGATAATGCTCGTCTCGTGCTCCAGATTGACAACGCACGCTTGGCTGCTGATGATTTCAGGATCAAGTGAGTGACATGAGAGCCAAAGTGTGTAGAGACGGATCGCACCTGATCTGCCCATATCTCTTTGCTGACCTCCTTCTTTGCATACAGGTATGAATCTGAGCTTTCCATCCGGCAGTCAGTCGAGGCCGATATCGTAGGTCTCCGGAAGGTGATCGATGACACCAACATCGGCCGCATGAACCTCGAGAGCGAGATCGAGGCTCTGAAGGAGGAGCTGATCTTCCTCAAGAAGAACCATGATAGTGTAAGAAAATTGTAGAGATAAGATCTATATGCACAAACTCTTTCATGTCCAAGGGTAAAATAATCATTTTTACTCATCCTTCTTATCATTAATAGTAGCAAACAACTGGCATTGTCCCCAGAGATACAAAATCTAAGCTTTTTCATCTCTTGTTCAATCAAACAGGAAGTTCTGGAGCTGCACAACCAGATCTCTCAGTCGGGAGTGCAGGTGGACGTGGACGCCCCCAAGGGACAGGACCTGTCTCAGGTCTTGGCAGAGATCAGAGGCAAATACGAGAAAATGGCACAGAAGAACCAGGAAGAGCTGAAAGCCTGGCATGAAACGCAAGTATGTGATCGCTTCGTTTTTTTGAAGTGATTTTATGACTTATTATCGTTTCATATATCTATCAGAGCAGGCTGCATAAAATCCATGTAGATACAGCGTGTGATTTCTTACGGCTCGTTTTTCTTTCATCTGCCACGCAAAAGTTATCAGAGGTCCAAGTGCAGGTGACGCAGAACACAGAGGCCCTTCAGGGTGCCGTCACAGAGGTGAATGACCTCCGCAGGCAGGTGCAGACGCTGGAGATTGAGCTGGAGTCTCAGAAGAATCTGGTAAGGGTCACTGCATGCTTGCTGCCTCCGTGCTCACTGCGGCGTTTCATCGACAGTTATGCTCCGACTTTAGGCAAACGGTGCGCTGATCGCATCACTGACTTAACATGTTGCTTTCCTCCCCGCCTCCTGCAGAAAGGCTCCCTGGAAGGAACACTGCATGACACGGAGCTGCGCTACAACATGGAGGTGGAGAAGTACAACACCATCATCGTGCAGCTGGAGGCCGAGCTGACGCAGCTGCGCAGCAGCATCCAGCAGCAGTCTCAGGAATACGAGACCCTGCTGAACATCAAGATGAAGCTCGAGGCTGAGATCGCCACATACAGGAGGCTGCTGGATGGCGGCGACTTCAAGTGAGTCCCAGCGAGGCAGATAGGGAGGAGAGGGCACAAGCGCAGTGTGGAGATTAACACCAAAAGAGATCAAAATCCAGGCAACTCAGACCAGGAAAGACAGAGGAATGGATGTATTAAGATGCCTAACTTGTCTTCATCCATCCAGGACCTTGAATGGGCTACAAAGTGCTCACTGCTGTGTTGTTTTCTGTCCTCTCCCAGGCTACAGGATGCCCTGGAGGACCAGAAGACCACCAAGACCAAAGTGATGACTGTGACACAGACCCTGGTGGACGGGAAGGTGGTGTCCACGGAGACGAAAGAGAGGACAACATAAACGTCCAAAGCCACTCACGCCCCTGCCCCATTCCCAAAAGTGCAGCATAGTACTACACTTTTTCAGCAACCAATGACACACCATGTCTTATAAGTATTTATTGCCATATCATATACGGGTGTCAGATTCCAGTCCTGGGGGGCCGGAACCCTCCACATTTTTGGGTTTCCCCTCATTTAACACATCTGATTCAACTGCTTATGCTAATTACCACACAGCTCTTGAGCTGAATCATTTGTGATGGTACAGGGAAAGATACACAGGGCTCCAGCCCCCCAGGACTGGAGATTGACTCCCCTCCCCTAGATGTATCAAATTAAAAAATATGGTGAAAAAATATGATTCAGTAGTTATAGTACAAACGATGGCCATTTCCTGCATTTGGTCATTTGACCCCTTCCAACCACTGTTACAGATTTTATAATCATCAACCAAGACTGTAAACTGTTAATCACTTGTATGGGGTGTTTTCGTCTCAATAAAGGTGCTTGAGTACATTTTTACATCGGGTTCTGTATTTTGTTTGACACGTAGATGGATGGATGGATTCTTCTGCTTTTTTGATCACCTGAATGGGTGAGGAAACGGTCATAAGAGCTGATATTCTGAATGTAATATGAATGTCTTAATATTAAAACTGGATTTGTGGCACCAACCAAACTGGGAATAAACCTTTACCCAAAAGACTGGCTGAACATCAAATCCTCTCTAATGAAAGTATGAAAGTAATGGAAGCATAAGCTAAAACACATGGATCCCGAAAGCTAAAACTTTTTCCAGACTGTCAATAGGTAATATGTCCTAAAAAAGGATGACATTTTAACAGTAAAGCTTACAAAAGTTTGCTGAAAATGTGATTTAATTGAGAATGATTTAAAAAATGTTTTAATTATATTCATGTGAGCCACCTAGCTATGGTGTCACTGCAAATGCAGCATGGACTTTGGCACTATAACTTCTTATCTAAGTTTAGTTACACTGAACTTTAAACTTATTAGTCAGAGTTGGTTGTATTTAAGATCCATGTTGTTGCATTATGATACAGGGAGGGGCTATGACCATCAGTTGGGGGGGGGCATGAAGCTGAATGAAGCTCATTCAAAAAACGTATACCTGTGAGAGGCGTGCTCTTTTAAAAAAATTGGTACGCAATCAGGTGCCACTGGTTCCGTTGATGGAAAGCGTATCTGTACAGGGGCGCAGTGCTTCAGAGGGCTCCGTCCGCCAGGCATTCATTTAGCAGACACACTGCCCCACACTGCCTCACAAAGCTCCACACTGCCTCACAGAGCCTTGCACTGCCTCACAGAGCCCCACACTGCCTCACAGAGCCTTGCACTGCCTCACAGAGCCCCACACTGCCCACACTGCCTCACAGAGCCCCACACTGCCCCAGATTGCTTCACAGAGCCCCACACTCCCCCACACTGCCTCACAGAGCCCCACACTGCCTCACACTGCTTCACAGAGCCCCAGATTGCTTCACAGAAGCCCACAGGCTCTAGTTCACTGGACCACATACTGGAAATGTCCCTGGCAAATGAATGGATGAATCCCTATTGATTGGACATTGATCGTGTGTATTTCACGTCTCAAGGGTTGCAGCGGATTGCACATATATTTCTGGTTTATTTCTCTAGCTCTTCCTGATGCCCTAACTCCTTATGCATATTCAGAAAAGCAAAGTACAGAGTCCAGCTAAGACCACACATGGAGAGACATGACTGCAATTTGGGTGTGGTGGCAGATAGGGAAGAATGAACATAAACATCAGCTGTACTGATTCTTGCTGTTCTGTGTGCCTGTATTTTGTTGGATTCACCCTGAATCTTTTTTCAGGAAATGAACAGGATTACTACTTATTTGACTACTCATTTAAGAGGACAACTACTCATTTAGCTACTCATTTAAGAGGACGACTACTAATTTAGCTACTCATTTAAGAGGACAACTACTCGTTTAGCTACTCATTTAAGAGGACGACAACTCATTTAGCTACTCATTTAAGAGGACAACTACTCATTTAGCTACTCATTTAAGAGGACGACTACTAATTTGGCTACTCATTTAAGAGGACAACTACTCATTTAGCTACTCATTTAAGAGGACGACAACTCATTTAGCTACTCATTTAAGAGGACGACTACTCATTTAGCTACTCATTTAAGAGGACGACTACTCATTTAGCTACTCATTTAAGAGGACGACTACTCATTTAGCTACTCATTTACGAGGACGACTACTCATTTAAACAACTCCCACTCAAGGGGTCTGACCCATGGGTCTGTGGCGTGCCATGTGGTACTGAGGTAGACGCAGCATCCATGATGGTGCCAGAGGGAGAGGGACAAGGAGTTTTGGGCTCTTGTTACTCCATTCCCCATAAGCAGTTACAGTGTGTTGACTGGTGAACAAATAAAATGTTCTTATAAAGCTAAAGACAATAAGAAAGAACAGTCTGGTTACAGCATATGTGCATGTGTGTTATACTTCCCCATCTCTGTGTCATCAGGTATGAGTATGTAGGTAGAGTGAGTCACTTAGTGCAGGCAGACAGTACCAGGTGACAGATAAAACCCAGGGCCGATTCTAGGGACAATGGGGGCCCTCCAACTCCCCCTCCCCCGGCATGGTAACGTTTATTACCTTTATTTTTGCATGGTGTCTCAATTAACAATATCAACGAAGAGAATTTAATAAACACGATTCTTTTATTTGCAGAATACACAAATAAAGCAGATTTGTCGTTGCAGCGTGCTATGTAATCAGCTGCCCTCGGGGGGGGCCCTCCCAGCTTGAGGCCCCCAGGCCATTGCCTGCCCTGCCTGTCCTGTCCCTATGCTTCTGATAAAACCAACATGCTATGTCTGTAACTGGAGACGGAGACTGAGGACCTAAATGAAGACTTAATATTCACCAGGAGGAGAAGGTTTAGCCATTCTACCAGCATCAAAGATAAAAAGCCCATTTGTATTTAAAAATAATAGTGTGAAGGCAAGTTTTCCTCATATCTGAAATCCATCCATCCATAACTGTTTGTGGAGTACAGGACTGCAGGAGTCAGTCCCAGAAATCGTGAGGCACAAGACAGGAGACAATCCTACATTATATTACTTGGTGAAACGATACTTTATTTACCATTTGCACAAGTATGTGTGCAGGTACATTGCAATGCTCCTCTTGAACTACCCCATCTTACTCACCATGAGACACAGACACACCTGCAGGTGAGAGCAAGCGTGGGAGTCACAGCACAGGGTCAGCCAGTGTGCAGCCCCTCCCCTCCCCCCACCCGGAGCTGGGAGTTAGGGCCTTTCTCAAGGGCCTACGGATGCGTGACTATCTTCTGATCACAGGCACAGAGGCTTAGCTGCTGAATCACTCACCACAAGATACCTCCTGTGTATATTGTGAAAAATACCTTGATATTTTCTGAATGTTTTACTAATAATTGCGACTATGGTTAGAAAAAAACAGTATTTCCACTATGAGAGGAAGTTCGGATGGCCCAGTCTGTCGTAGCAGCGCATATGGATACTGCCGTGGGATAGGATCTGCCTGAAAGACCGAGGGACATAAGGGTCCAATATGAGAAGAAGCTTCTAGAAGTGCAAGAACCAAGAAGTAGTCAAAGCCTGCTAAGAAAGCAGGATACTACCTCTACTTCCACACTCCACTTTTCACCTTGCTACACCTACTACAAGATGACACAAATCTGTTGCCTTTTAATATGAAGATAATTCAGTTCAGTTTCATAATTTTTCAGTCCAGTATTCAGAAGATATTTCTGTTTGTGTGTATGACTGTGATGTCATCTCTACCTCCTCGATGTCAGTAGCTATAGGAGATGAACTTAAATACTGCAGCTTTCCTAGCAAGCAAATACGCTGCTACTTATTAAACTCGTATATAGATGTATTTTATGCACCCCTTTCTGCAGCAGCCACAGAAAGTCCTCCGTAACCCACTGCCTGTGACGTGGGATGAGCCCTGAGTATTTCCACCTGCATTGCATAAGATACAGGGTTGACTCAGTTGCCATTGCCTGTCCTCGGTAATGATGTTCTGGCTGCACTATCCTCGCCTCATGCAAAATGACAGCATAAAGAATAACATGATTAGCAAGCACGTGCACTTCAACACGGAGCAGAAGAAAGACAATGACATCATTATGTGCCTGGAGATGAATCGGAGTGGCTGCGTGCCAACATCCAGCAACAGAAGCGTAAATTTGAGGATCTGCAGAATGTCGTGATGGAGCGGAAGCTGAGATTGACACCTGCGGGAGGCTATTGGAGGGTGAAGTATTTAATTACGTAAAAAGGGGTGTGGCCAATATACATGTTTTTTGACATATATGACCTCAGGTAGAGATGTGTCCAGACGTATTAATCACTTGCTGGTGCTTCAGGAACAGCTCAATTATATCCATGAAGAATGTTTCAAGACACTGGCTGTTGGCTCACTTGGTAAAAACCTAATATTTCGTAATTGTTACATTTGGCCTAATTAACAGACAATTTGTGACCACTCTGAAATTCAGTAATGGAGCTGACATGGAAGACAGCTTGACACCAACAAGGCCTAGAGCTGCTCATCGTACCTGGAGATCCACTTATCGGAGGAGTCCTGTACTCCATACTCTGTAAGTCATGGCACTGACATGACTCATTATATCTATAATAGTAGTATGTTCACACTATGAAATCTGAGAAAAACCACAACCACTAAATTTAGAGTAGAGGATGTTGTTGAACAATCTGTGAAATGTCAGAAATGGTGGTGAACATCACACAGACATTTGTGTATTAATACGAATCCATCCAGCTTCCAAGTACTTGTCTTGTTTTTTTTCTGGATGTTGTTGTCATGGGATGTTTCACAGCCTACAGGAAAAATTCAGGCACATTGACAAACAACAGCATAAACATTGACATCCAGGGTTTTTATGGGACTGTTTACCACTTCACATCTTTTGGCAGCTGTTAACCTAAATTGCTGGGTGTTTTTGGCCGGTGGGGCTGACAATACGGCGCCTCTGACACACACCAGCCAATGGAGACCCAGCAAAAGAGCACAGGTGAGCAGATGGGGGGGGCAGTGCTTATGGGACTGCACATAATTCTACACCGCAGACAAACAGCTGGTTTGTTCATAGAGAACACAGACATCACCATCTCAAGATCTATGTTTGCTATTAACAATGTTACATCGCACAGCAACATCTTACATATAAATGCAATTGGAACACAGCTTAAATAAATCCCACAATGCTACCCACCTCAGCCAGGCAATACACAGCCTGTTGCAAGGTACAGAAGTTGATAAGGGCAGTTCTATGCATGCTCCTTCAGTATAGTTCTATAAACCCGGGAAATCAATCAATAAATCAATAAATACTGTCTAGGTTTTCCACCTAATTTGAATCCATAAAACGCCTACCATTTTAGATGATTATACACCATCGGTTCATGGACAATACAAACACAATCAGATGAACAAT